GTCCCTTTTTGTTGGCCGCTTGACATGGTCAACCCAACGGTTGCTGATTGTTTTTTTGAGGTCAATGAGGACGCCGGCCATAATGAGCATGTGCAGGCCGGAGACGTCGGATGACTCGATTGCCCAAAAAAAAAGAGCTTTGAACCTTGTCCTGAGGGTCGAAATACCTAAGGAGGTAGTTGAGGTGTCAGCAAGGGGTCAAAGTTTGCGTCCCGACCCTGGAATTTGGACCCTTGCGCCCTCGGGGGTCGGAGTTCCGAGGTTCTCATGGCTTTGAGCAGTCCAAGCTCAGTCGATCCCGTCCTCGGTCCTTGCCCAGCCTGGCCAATAGGGCAATAGGAACGCAACAGGAAACCACACTTTTTCTCTCAGGGCTGCAGAGTGCTGGGAGTTCTCAGCGGTTTGTATGAGGGGAGACTGAGTGCCCCGTTAGCTTGTCCAACATGAAGACTAAGAAACCCATTAGGTATTGGCTGTAGCCGTTGTAATTACAACTTGTTCTTGTTGTGTACAACCGGGTGTTTGGGGCTGCTTTTCAGGGTGCCCGCCTGCGGCAGCCGCACCAGGAAATCAAGAGTCCACAGCGCCATGGATTTTTCTTCAGGAACACCGGTAATCAGGTGTAGCACAGTCACCAAAAAATGATCAGAGCCATGGGCTTGCGACATCGACCTCATGGGCCTTTGCTCCCTCTGAAACGAAACTCCCCAAATACGGGGGACCCCGAAGCATGAAAGCGATGTTCGGTCGTTTCAACACACAAAGCCCGGAGAAAAGCCGGTGCGTGGGCAGGCCCGGCAGCAGCTTTCCTCACCGCCCTTGAAGCCCTTAACGTTTGGAGCCCAGCGCAGTCTTCAGAGAACTGATCACCCTGTCGGAACACCAACCCCTTGTTTGAGTCACCCCTTTTTTGTTTTTTTTTTTGTGGTTTCAGAAGTTCCCTCCCTGGTTGTTGTGGCTGGTTTTGTTGGTTTCAGAAGTTCCCTCCCTGCTTTTGTTGTGGCTGTCTTTTGTGGAGTCAAGGAAGGATCATTTGGGATGGGGGTCACGAGTGGGTGGGGAGCTGTAGTAGTTCAAGTGAAGGGAAGCACAGGAATTCCCACGCGCATGGGGTCTTGAACGGGAGACAAGCACCCTTGGAACATTTCCCTTAGACTGGAAATCCGTATCGGCCAATGTTTTGCACCTGGGTTTGGCTCATCAGACAACACACTATTGAGAACATGTCCCGGCTATTCCATTTCGCGGTTGCGGAACCGGACCCATGGTCGAGAGTTTGTTCGGCAGTATTTCGACCGCCGTCCCAAGTTCGAACGCAGAAGTTACTCTACACAGCCAATGAGTGCAGAATACAGCTCTGGCTCAAAGATGCTAAGCAAAATTACACCTAAACCATGTTGGTGCTTGTTAATGTTAGGCTAAACATGAGGCATAGTCTGAACATTTGATATTGGGTCCCCAGAGTAGGGCATTTGGATGAGTTTGGCTGAAAATAGATGGCACTGGTTTTTCGCAATCCTTGTGTCCAAAAGGACTAGGCAAAAACGGGGTTTTGTTTGCCCAGTTTTGATACCGAGAGGAGATTGGTTGAAAAAACAACAGGGATGGATTCGAATCGGTGCCTGTTGTAGGTTAGTTTGATTGAACATAGATGGCTGTGGCGCAAAAAAACGGTACCAAAATGGAACCCTGGCAAGTGGAAACATGGACCAAAACCTGTTGGATTTCCAAACATTCTTATTAGGAAGCTCAATCCCACTTTTCCTTAAATGTAACCCCAAACGGCAAACTTGGCATGTTTTGGGCCTGTTCCCGTCACTGTGGCCTTGCGTGGTTGAAGGCTGGTCGGGGATGGTTGGAAGGTGGTCGGAAGGTGGTCGGAAGGTGGTCGGGAGGTGGTCGGGAGGTGGTCGGGAGGTGTTCGGGAGGTGGTCGGAGGTGGTCGGGGGGTGGTCGGAGGTGGTCGGAGCGTGGTCGGAAGGTGGTCGTTTGGAGGTTGCAGCCTGGTTCTAAGGGTGTGGTACTGTTGGAGCTTCACGTATTTCCATATTTGGGTCATGCAGTGCAATTCTTCACGTGATTTGCTTTTTAAGCACGGTTTATATCCTTTCTGATCAGCAGGCCGCCCGGATAAGCCATTTGGAAATCCAACACCAAAACCTGCGTAACCCCTCCTGTTTAATTTTGAGCCCCACACAGATGATTTCCATTAGTTATTTGTTCATTTACTCGTGAAGTCCATCTAATTAGTTTACCACAAGGACACCCATCAAAAATGAGAGCGATGGATTCGTTTACCCCAGTGATACCACGGGGCACCCAGACCTTCCAAAGACCTGGTTAAACTGGGCAAACAATTCCTGCTTTATACCCGAAATTCACCCACTAAAAGTTATTCACTTGGCTACGAATTTGAATGGTTGGAACCCCCTGAAAAGTGGTTGGACATAAATCCCCACTGAATTCTGATGTCCACCAGTTCGGGTCCCAAGTTCAAAAAAATATACCCACTTTGAGCGGCACTTTGAGCGGACCGATAGCTTCGCAGCCGGCGAATCAGGCTGATGCTCACCGTGTCGAAGCTTAGCGACTTGGAGGATCGCGGCAACCTGCTGCTTTGCCTCCAGGCGAAGCGGCGACTTCGTTTGGGGGGGGGGGCCTCAATTTGTGGGGGTGGGGGGAAGGGGCTTGGGGGTGCCATGAACACCTAGAGTCTATTTTACAACCAAGAACCCTAAAAAACAAAACCCTAAATGAAGGAGGTTGCAAAATGGAGCCCAAGTGTCCACCATCCGGGGGGGGGGGCTTAGGGCTAGGACTCCCAGAACGCGGAGAAGCCTCAATTCTCGGTTAAATCCAGGATCCGATTCTGCCATTTTGAGAGAACTCAATACGTGTTGTGTGGTTTGGCCACATGGCCCCTCTCTTTGGCTAGATTTGCAGGCATCGCTCCAAAACCTCAAAGTGTCCCTGTTTGGCAGATTTGTGCAATCGATGTGAAAAGGCCAGTAACCTTTTGGTTTGAACCTTTTGCACAAGGCTGGCAGCCAATGGTTTTTCCAGCAAAAAACACGGTCAGAAGCAACCCTGCCAAGTTATGACACAATCATACGACCGTAGCACACCCCTTTTTCGTGTGACAATTTTTGTGTCACCTGGGGGAGTGGGTGATCGGTCGGCTAAGCCTCGTTGCGTCTCTCGCATGGCATCCCAGGTCGGAGAGGGACGGCGACCGATGGGGATGTCCCCAAGGCCCCCTTTTTCACCTTAACTGGGTCCCCCATCATTGTCCTTTTTAACCTCTTTTTTGGGGGAGGGTTCCCCTACTAAAATAGACCTCTCTACTTCCACAGTGAAGGACTAGCATCAGCCCTAGCCCCGCGCAGGTGTACCTGATCATAGCCCAGGTGGGGACACCCACGAACGCGTTGTCTTTCGGAACGATCGATCGACACTAGCCGACCGTGTTTGCAGTTTGCTGCGGCATAGATCTGTCATGCCCAAAAGGAAAACGGTCAATGGCAATCAGGCCTGATAATGTCTTGGTGGCTCCCAGCCACCCCTTAGCCTTTTAGCTTTTTAGGGTTTAGTGGTAGTTTCCATGTAACCCACTGAAAGTTATTCATTTTTGGCAAGGGATCTGAAAACGGGCAGCCCAGTATTTAGGTTTCCTTCTCTTTCTGTACCCGAGGGTTCCTTTTTTGGGCGGGTCGGACCTTTCAAGGCCCGCTCTGGGTGATTTTTTGTCCGACCTCACACGACCGAATTCACCCCAAATGGTGGGGTTTTGTGTGGAATAGCCCCCCACCGCAAGTTTCAGGCTGGTGAAACAAGTTATAATTCCAGACAGATTCCGAAGCACCGGAGCCTGGGAAAGCAGGTGCTTATGTCTTCACAACCATGCGTTTGTCTCAAAAGGACCATGAATCTTAGTAACTGTGGATGGTTGCGAAATCCGCTTCTCAGACCACCGTTCAGAACCCCTAGAATGAGGGTTCCCCAGCGTATATACCAACCGACAATGGTTTCAACTATGGTTTGAAAGTGGAGCAGGATTTTGTCCATCCACAAGCGGGAACCTCCTCGAGAAAGGGTTTTGGGACTTCAACCTATGCATACCCCAAAGTAAGATTCAAGCCACTTCCTGTCGTGGACATGATGTCACCAAAGAGCCCCGCGATTAAGATTCACAGCCAAATGGGTAGTTCCCTCTTTTGGACGGTTCCAAGAGCCACACTCGGATGACTCTTGGTCCCAATTGTGTGAGTCACGCCCATTGAAAGTTGAGAGCCAAGCAGTCAAACAGCTTTGCCACGGCGTTGTCGAGTGCTTAAACATGCTGTGGATGGACAAAATCCTGCACCACCGAAGAATCCCTAGAATGATGATTCTCCTGCAATACCAACAGACACTACGGCTTCAAATTGATCCATCCACAGTAGGGTTCCCGATGCTTCCCCTGAACAAGGTGATCTTAAACATCGTTGTGCGCCGATGTGGGATCTGTGGGGAAAACCCATTCTTGGACGTGGCTTCCGTTTGGTTTTCCTGAGAAAGCCTCGTTTGCTCCCAGACCACTTTTTCCCCCAAGGATAGCTATTGGCCCGGCCCGGAAACCTATCGCCGCGGAGCAATGTTTGTATCCGAAAGGAACCCGGTTTGTGAGAGTCCTTGTGAGAGTCCATAGGGCACCCGAAAGTGGCTGGAAGTTGCTGGTGAAAAGAAACTACCAATCATGTTCCTTCAGTGGATCCCTACAAAGACACTAAATGCTTGGTGGTTCCCAGCCACCTTAGTTTTTTAGGCTTTAGTGGGGGATCCCCTTTAGGAATTGGTTGGGTGTCCATTTAACCCACCAAAAGTTATTCACTTCGAGCAGGGGACCTGAAACCCGACAGCCCCGAATGGTTTGGCCGGGCAAGCCAATCAAAGCTCCACGGGCGTCGCCTAGGACGGCCAGGGCAAGCCGGTGGTAAGTTTACCGCCGGAGCCGGGGTTCCCGGAAAGCGGCGGTATGCAATTTGCGATCTGCTGGAGACATGAGTGTCAAAATAGGGTGGCTCCAAAAACGGGTGCTAAAGCCAACCCGAAATGAGCCACAATCAACTCCCGGGTAGATGAAGGTTAGCAAGGGATGCTCCCAACCATAAATAGCTGCGGCCGCCTTCTGAATTCTTTGCATGGTTCTGGGATTACGACCATTGTGATACCCGGACTTTGATTATGACTAAAATGGTTGTGGAGAAGAGGGCTAGTTGTCATCACACGGGTCATTTCCACGCCCCAAAAGCCAAGTGCAGTTCCATCACGCAGAGCGGCTCGGTGCCCTTTCGGGGCTTGAGCCCTGGACAAGATGATCAGAATAGAAGGTCTCCGGTTTGCTGGGTTTTGGTGTCCTGTACAAAGGCAAACAAAGAAGAGGCTGCGAGAAAGTCACAAGTTGGTTCGGGGATGTCAGGGGTGTTGGGACATCAACCTTGGATTCCAGGCCAATCTGGTTTGGGAAAGCCATCAGAGGCTTTTGCTTTTTTCCCGTACACCATCTATTCAGGAAGCTCATGTGGATGTTTAACACCATCCGTTGACCAATCGGGTCCCGCGCCAACGACTGCTTTTTGGTGTCGGGTTTGGGGCATGGCAAAGCAGTCCTTGACTGACTGACAGCACCAGGCGCGAGCCCGAAGCGGCCGGGAAGCTTGGCATCGACCCGAATCGGTTTCTCCATCACGTCTTCCCCGAGGGTTCAGTTGCCACCAGTAAAACAATGGTTGGGTGAATGCATTCACCATTATTTACCTAAGGGTGTTCATGCAAGAATGCATTAACCCAACCATTTAACAACCATTGTGTTACTGGTAACGCAACCATTTAACAAGGGTGTGCATGCAAATTGAGTTCTTGCCATTCTTTTCATGGGGGCTGAACCCCAGGGATCTTTTTTTGGGGGGTCTGTCCCATTTCGAGCCAACCCTATTGGCTTGTTGAAGTGTGCTGGCCATGCTTCGGTGTGTTGATTGCCGCATGTTGGATCTACCTCTGTTTGCTTGTTTGCTTTGCTTGTTTGCTTTCTTGCTTGTTTGTAGGTATGTATGCATGTTTGTTTGTGGGTTGGTTGGTTGGCTTGAGGTAGCCCTGAATTGGCGGTCATTTGTTGGATTCGAGCCGCCGCACTTGCCGGCTGTGTTCTTGTTGCACTGGCCGGCCCGCGAATTCAAGAGATGTTCAATTCGGATATGGCGGTGGGTCAAAACCAATGGAAATTGGGTGCACCACCCATTTTAGAACCTATTTGAGTGGGGATTGGGATGTTCACTCCGGGATGGCCACATCCTCACCAGGAAGGTTTTTCAAGCCTTCTCGCTATCCCTTGGAGCCTTGGCTGCAACGCGCTGCACAGGCCTTGATTATGACGACTGTGTTCAAGGCGCATTTCCACGACCAGGCGCGTGCTCAAGCAAGTGGACGTCGCTCGCTCGCGGAGGTCCTGGACAATTCTTCCCTCCATCTAACTTGGCACCTGACAGGGAAATGGTCCCTAGAGGAAGAAAATCTTCCAGGTAGCCCCTTTTGGTCTTTGGTCCCACCCGACAGGTTTGGGGTTGTCAGACTTGAAGTGAAATCCGCCAGCTGACAGACACTCATGTCAGTGCACCAACAGAACCCCTCCACCCAATTAATTCAAGGTTTCCGCTTTTGCCTCCCAGATTGCCGCCAATACCAAGGTGAAGGGCAAATGATGCCCTATCATTAGTTGGGCCTCCCACCCCGTTTTATTTGCTTGTGATTTGCTTAGTTTGCGCTCAAGCCCAATCCTTTTTTCGGATCTCTGTACAGAAGGATACCGGTACATTGGTGGTACCCTTTGAAACCAGCTTCCGTTGATTCGTAGAAACCACCTGAATCGGACGGCAAACAGTTGGACCTAGTTCTATGATGCTTCAAGTAGCTGAACGTACTGAGAACTAGTTCATACTTTTCGATACTTTGACGGGGTTACAGACATACTGAGAACTAGCTAATACTATTTGACGGGGTTTTATTCAGCGCGCGAGCTGATGGATGAAGGTCCTTCATCAAATCAGATTCCTCAAATCAGGTTGCTGATGTGCAGCGCAAAAGCCTAAGCCTGGAAGCCCCAGAGATGCAGGCTGCTGATTTTGGCTTCAACTGGAGGGGTCCTCTTCCCGTTTTGAGACACGACTTGTGGGTTTCCACCAGTCTTACTTTGGTTTCTAATCATTTACAACATAATTTCATTGGTTTCAGTGCGGTATGTGTTTTTTTGGTAAAAAGTATTGTTATCATTATTTTATTTATTTATTTATTTATTTGTTTGTTTGTTTATTTATTTATTTATTTGTTTATTCATTGATTTATCTATTTTTTCTACCAGGGCTCATCGAATTGAGACACACCTCGACTGCGACAGGCAGTGGTTGAGCTTATGCTGAAGATCCTGCAGCTGTCTTGCCGAGAGCTGAGGTAGCCTTGGGGGGTGGCGAGTGGTTTCTTGACTCAAGTTGGACGGAGGGTCTCCTCCGAAATGTTGGTTTTGTTTCCAATATTTTGGGGTCGGCAAATTCTTGGAGTACAGTATCCGGAGTGGGGTCAAGATTGTGCGATTTTCGAAAGACCGTTTTAGGGAAGGGAGTCTAGGGGTGACCTCAGGACAAGGACATTGGCCAACAAAAAACTGTGTGGAACCCCAAAAAGTAGTTGCAGCCCCCTACCTGCTGGTCACGGCAGGGTTCTCTTTCTCCGGGTTGGTCTTATGTTGTTCAATGCCATGTGCCCTAAGTCGCATGTTTCCCGTGTTTCTATACCAAGCTCCAGGAAGTCAAGCCAGCTGTGTTTCGCTTAGCTTCTCATGAAGCTTTTCACGGGAGCAGCACCAGATCCGACTTCTCTGAGCCAGTCGCTAAACCTGATGCTTTGCCAAATGTCACCAAGCCTTGCTGCAACAGCTCCCCTCCAGCAAGAGAAACCTAAAGAGAGGGAGCCGCAAGCTTTGACTGTCACAGCTGTCCACAGATGACGTTGTGGGAGCCTCATGTCACAGCTGTCCTGGCCCGAGCACTGGCGGGAGCTGGTCACTGCCTGCTGTTTGGCCACTGGCCTCAGGTCTCTGCAGCTGTTGGCAAGTGGGCAGGTACTGGGCAGGTGGGCTGTGGCCGGATGTCGCTTAAAATCTAGCAACCCCGAACCTGTCGGGCGAGAAAAGCCGAGCAAGCGCGCGTTCAGGCGATATGACAAAGGCAAATGCGTTGAACTTTTGTCCACGAACTTTTTAGGCTCACGTCTGAGCTTCACAGCTTTGATCTACCCTCCATATCTCTGGTGGGTTAGAACCTTTTGGAAGCAACCATGGTCCAATTCTCTGGCGAATTCGACACTTTTTTTTTGCTTGAGCAAATTGTCTTTCGGCTGACCAACGCCACCCAATGGACATATTTGTTTTGTTTGACGAGGGCTGATTTTTTTGTAGCACATGGTCTTCCCGCTGACTAACACCAACCACTGAGATCATTGCTCAAGGGGGAATCGAAGTCAGAAAGTGCGGTCGTTTCCCTACTCACTTCTTGCATCAAGAAATGGCCATGGGTCAAAACCCAAATCGTACCCCCAGTGAACATCCCAATCGAACCACTAAAATAGGTTCTAAACTGGGTGGTGCACCTACCAACCAAAATGGCCCAACACGGTTTTGACTCACAGCCCAATCACGAGCCAAGATTCCATGGAAAAGTTGGATGGGCCCAGGCGAGCAGCCGCAGCTCTGCCGCCGGCTCTTTGCCTCACGCCTGTAAGGGGAAGAGGGGGAGGGAGAGGTGGGAGGCGGGAGGCGCGGAGGGGAGGGGGAGACGGATGGCCCAGATTACGCGAGGGTGATATATGAATCAAACCTGATTGGACTCTTGGTGTGGTTGAATCGGAAAAATGTTGATTTTACATAGCTGGCCATGTCATGCCCAAACCCAAAGGAGAAAGAGCCGACGCTCGTCCAGAGTCTAAAGGTCTTGCTGTGTGTGTCTTTCCCCAGCCAGCATTCAACCAGCATTTAATTCCCCCAGCATGTTCAAAGGAGTCGACAGGCGCTTTTGCATCGTGCCTGCAACCGGCTGCGCGCTCACTGCAGTTGGCGTCAAGGAGGACTTCCAGTTGACAGCAACCTTGGCGTACGCGCGGCTTGTACTTGGTACACCGGCCCGCTGGGCGCAGTACAGTGGCTGCAAAACATGTAAGCGACTATGAAAACCATGGGCTCCTTGCCAAAACGCCAACTGCACGCTTGCCCAGCTGGTATTTTTGTCCTGCGTTGTTCTGTTGTGCGGTTCACCAACCAATGTAGCCATGGCCCCAAAAGCTGAACTTCCTGGTTTTAGGTAGATTGAGCAATGAGTTTCACAAATGGAACGCTCATGGGGTGCATATGATTGGAGGTCTCTTTCCACTTTGGGCAGGTGAGTCCAATTCTTCACGGGTTTTCTATTACACCCCGGGGCTGGGGGTTCGATGCAATTTGCAGACAAGACCTTGTGATGTTGGACTATGTCGTGCAATTTCCCTATAGGTGTGATGCCAGTGTCCCTTATTCCAGCAACAATGGAAGGGGACCCCAAAAAGCAAGCACGTCTTCCGAATTCCTCCTGTCAGCTTCGATGTTTGTTGGAGGCAGGGTGGTGATACGGATATGGGTCTGCTCCAAGCTTACATGAGGCAAGTTTCGAACCACCAGAGTGGGCGGGTTCCTTGGTATTTCTCCGGGTGATTAAACAAATGTCCCTCAAGAAGAGCCAAGCCCATGCCCGAATCAGTTGCACTGCAATCAGATGTGTTGGCCTCCTTCGAAATGCTTCTAATTTGCTTAATTATTGTTGTATATTTTTCCCACTTGGTTTTAAAGGGAACCTATCACTACTGGAAGACTGGAAGTATTTGTACTTTTCAGGGGGCTTAAGCACATGGAAGAATGGCAAGCGGGACCCAGTCCCCAGTTACAGGTTTGGTGACGCCTCGCTTAGGAGCAAGGCCTCACCGGGGTGCTGCGCAGCTTCCTGCGCAAGGCCCGAAGAGGCCGGGCCTCGTCCCGACTCATCCGGTGCAACTTTTGTTCAGCGAGTCAGGCATAGAATTCTGGCTGGAGTAGTCCACCAATTAACATGAAACCTGACAGGGACCCCGTCCCTTCAAAAGGAGAATGGTCTTCCAGGACCCCCTGTCAGGTTCCATATTATTCGTGGGAGGGTACGTGGTGGAAAGTTTTGTTCGGATTCAGGGATCAAGGTTATGTGATGCCAAGTGAAAAGTTACTGAATCTTTTTTGGATTCTGGGATGTGCGACGAAGGAGACCTGTTCGTCATGAGGATGGCACTTGGCATTGCCAGGAAGAGCGATTTCCAAATCACACCCGTGCTGTCAACATTGTTCAGTGCAAGGTCCCTTTTGAATTGGGCCCGATTAAGCTCACCTCCCATTTGACCAAAGCCAAGGCCTTTTGTTTCTTTGTGAATAGGGCAGGCTCGACTTTGCTTTTCAGAACGACTAGATGAGTTTGGATAAGGTGACTCTCTGGATTTTGCTTTCCAAAGACTTTCTGCCCGTTTTTTTGTTGCCCTTGGTTTTGAGTACAAGGAGAGACCAGATTTGGAGCGCGCCACAGAAACCCTCAAAGGAGGCCGTTCTGCGTAGCCCCAGTCTTGTTTTCTTGGCTAGTAGCCCCACGAGAGGGTTGTTCCACTTTGAGTGTCCGATTCAGGGGAGCCCTCCTGTAATAAACAGTGTATGGGAAACCAAGCAACCACATGTAGCGCTCCAGAGACACTTGGCACGTGAACATGTACTGCAATGCGAGGGGTTGATGAACGGTCCTTTGCATGGGATGACCATTGGGGAAAACCACCAATATGTTGACTTCCGAACCCTAGATGGGGAAAGTTACTCATGGGGAAAGCTGGAGCAACTTTTTGGGCCATGGTTTGTATTTTGCCCTGATGCAATATTGGTCAAGGCGTCGAGCCTGGCAAGTCAAACCGGTGCCGCCTCAGGCAAGGTGCACGACTCCTGGTTCGAGGAGTCTGAGGGTTCCATGGGTGAAGCACCCTGCTTCAGGTGAGCCAATCAGAACAGATTCGAGTGAAATGGTGGCGAAAAAAAATCAATCGGAATCAGGCCAAAATTCACCCTGGTGAATCTGGGGAAAGGTAGACTAACACCTCAGTCACCTGCGGTCGCCGGGTTGTTCTCTCTCTCTCTCTCTCTCTCTCTCTCTCTTTCTCCCTCACTCTCCTTAAACTTCACACCCCATTGGGTGCGTCTTTGTTCAGGCCGGACCCGCCATTTTGCTTCTGTTGCTTCCCCTTGAAAATCGACAAACAAGGGGCACCCTCCAAAAAGGCACACCCCATCAAACCTCACGTGATTTTTTTAACGCAGGACGTGAAGACTCGCAGAGGCATGAAGGTGGCTGGCGGCAAGGGGATTGGGTCCGGATCCCCAGCTTGGAACCAATCGTCAAGCGCTGTGCAAAGAAGCCAGCCGTGGCCTCCTTTGATGTTGACCCCCGCTTTCTTGATCTCCTGGTCTCCGGGTGATTTGGAACATGCTTGCTAGCTCTACTGCGGCTAGCTCCGACCGAAAGGCTAGTTTCTGCCATTATTTGTTCTGCCCATCTAGGTCCCCCAGTGCCCTTTCTCACCGTTTCTTTTTTGGTTGGGAGGGTTCCCCTACTAAAATAGACGTCCGGAAAAAAAGGGTACCCTTCTTCTAACATCTCTACTGGAGGACCTAGTTGATGTTGAGCCCGGATTCATAAACCCCCCTTCACTCATATATGGGGGGTGATCCTTCCAAAAGTGGTCTGAATCCAGGGAAAAGCACCCCCCATATTGATAAACAGGGGTTTATTGATCAATCCGATGTCAACATTGCAGAGAAACCAAAAGGATGTTGTTTCATACCCCCACGATTGGTTCATGATGGTATACTTCCCTTTATGTCGGCAAAGGGGATGACTAAGCCCAAATGGTTTGGAGTTGTGCCACCTACTTTATTCCCAACTGACTCACAGGTAAGTGAAGGTTAGTAAGGGAAAGACCGAGCCAAAATGAGTTGCGGCCGCCTTTCTGGTTCTTTACATGGTCCTGGGTTTATCATTTGTGTACCGGTCTTTGATTATGACTCAACTGTTGACAGGCTTCCCTGGGCCAATTTGAACTCAGAGTCCTTTTGGCGTGATGTGCTGAACTCAGCCAGCCGCGCCTGCGCCAGGTCCTTGAAACGCGCCAAGGAGATCGCGCAAGCGCAGCTCCGCGTCCGGATGCCATGACTTCGACTGTTCTTTTTTGTTTTTTTCTTCCAGGGGAAGGCGGTTTTTGGTAGGTTACTGGTAGGTTTGGTGGGTGGGAAGCGGTTTCTATTTTTGTCTTTGAGGGTTCTCAAAACCTCCCAACTTTGCATCCCACACTCGCCTCGTGCTTTTAGACTCCCAATCTTTCTCGACCAAAACTTTACTCGCTTCTCAGAGAATCGACCGGGGTTTTGAGAACCCAAAAGATTGCCCGAGGAAGCACCAAATAAGGGTCTTGTTTTAGGTTGCATTTGGGCTTGCTCTCAACAACGTAGGGCACCCTTTAGCGCTTGTCCTTTTGTTCTCTTTGCACCCACCCCAAAAGGGTTCCCTCGGAGAAAAAAACACTCACCCATTTAGTTTGCTTCCCCCAATTGGCACATGATCCCAGTTATGAAGTGCCACCCACTAAGTCCCTTTTCGTTTGTTCCCCTTGAAAGCATGGTCAACTCCAGTAACGTAAATGATTCCACCCTGCACAGCCGTTTTGTTTGCTTTCCCTTTCAACATGGTCAACTCCAAAAAGCCATAGTTTGATATGTCGTGTTGCTTTTGAGGGTACGATCTTCAGGTGGGGTTAACAAGGACACCCACCTGTTTCGACACATTCCCCTAAACAAGTTTGTCTCTGAAAGGGGGATCCCCAAAGTGGCCGCCGTCTTGTTCCACTTTAAAGAACCCCAAGAAGCCTTCAAGAAGGACATTCCGACAGTGTGTCTTTTGGGGAACTCTCAAAACTTGATGGTTTCCTTGAATTTTCCTCACCAACCCTCTCAAAATTCGATGCTTTTGTTGTTTTGTTTTCCTATTCAAACCAGTTTTCCCTGAATTTCCTCAACCCCAGCGAAATCTGAAGTTTTCCTTGTTTTTTTGCAACCAACCCAGGGGGACCTCTCAAACTCTCTGGTTTTTCCACTTCACTTCCCTAGGCAACCCCGAAATCTGTGGGGGTTTCCTTCAACTAGGCTCCCCTAGTAGTGCCCTTTCTCACCCCTTTTTCGAAAAGGGTTCCCCCACTACAAATACACTACAGAAAAAATGGGCACCCTTATTCTAACTTTTCCTCACCAACCCCTGGCTTTCCACTTCATTTCCCTCACCAGCCCCCGAGCCGCCCGCAGAAAAAGCCACTCCCCACGACTTGACTGTTTAGACTTGAACTTCTTGGTTAATATCCAGTTAAATTTTCCACTAGACCCCCAAACAAGTGCTCAACTTTTTGCAGGTGGGTCGAGACCTCCCGCGCGTCGCGCGACTTCGCCGCCTTCGCCGAGGTCACCGAAGCGCTGCGCCGCGCCGAGAAGCGCCGGGGAGCCTCGGAGCTCGGATGGAGGAGAAACCTCATAAAAGCGGCCACGATATAAAGGCTACACATATATTCTATATAAAAATGATATACATATATATTGAAAATGTAACTCCATTTTCATTGAGTCTATTCAAAAAAAACACTTGTTTTCTGTTCTTTTTTTTGGGGGTGGGGGTACCAGACTAAATATACATATATATATATATATATATAGATACATACCCCCGTTTGCCCCTGAAAGTACAGTTCATAGTTGGTTGAAAGATGGTGCACGTCCAACCCATTTTGGTGACGCGTCATCCCCTTCACTGGCCCCTTCACCACTAAGAGCAGTATGCCTACATGCATCCTTGAAGAAAAGGGCCTAAGCAACTAGAATTCTCGGGGAAGCGCCACGGGGGTTCTTTCTGGTTTTTGGGTTTTGGGAGCAAAGTTTTCGGATTTTGCTGCTTTCGGCTCCCAACAACCCAACACCTCTAGGGGTACCTTCCATTTCCATTCTTTCCAGGGATCCGAATCTTTCTAGACAACCTCTAGAAACCCAGGTTGAAAACGGATCCGGTTTTTGGAAAGAACGATGGTTGAAAAGAATGGGGAATCAACCACTAGAAGAATGGTTGCGGGGTACCATTAAACCAAAATACCTCATGACCAAAAGAGAACAAGATGTGTGTTTTTGGCCATTGTACTACTCTCCCGCCAATTTTTGAGAGATGTTATAGATTGCGAGCGATTCTACTTATTCGGGGGGAAATCGAGCGAATTCCGAGCATGTAGGTTTGTTATTCGGAGATCCCTTATTTCGGGCTTTGGAGCCGGGTCAAGTCTTTCATGATACCCTCAAATATGTCCCTAATTTCGACCATCCAATTCTCAGTTTCCCCATTGGACTTACAACTTGGAAGGTACTTTGCTGGACAACAAGTCATTTAGCCTGCTATTCTGTTCTCACCAGGGCGCAAGTTGCAAGAGCTGACAGTGCAAACTCTGTTCTGGCCAGTCATCTCAGCGAGTGGACAAGTTTTGCTACAAGTTTGCTACGAGTTTGCTCCAAAAGGACACCTATGGCCTGAATGATGACTTTCATTGAGAGCCAGACTCAACTGCTCTTTGGATTTTTGATGGAACCATGATCCCACCCTCCCTCCCTCGCTCCCTCGCTCCCTCGCTCCCTCGCTCCCTCGCTCCCTCCCTCCCTCCCTCGCTCCCTCCCTCCCTCGCTCCCTCGCTCCCTCGCTCCCTCGCTCCCTCGCTCCCTCGCTCCCTCGCTCTCCTCCCCCTCCTCCCTCCCTCCATCCCTCCCTCCCTCCCTCCCTCCCTCCTCCCTCCCTCCCTCCCTCCCTCCCTCCCTCCCTCTCTCCCTCCCTCCCTCCCTCAATCAAAAAACCGCCCCAACAGCTTTGGTGCATCTCTTTTCCATGGTTGTTGTTGGGAACCATTTTACATTTTTGCTTATTATGGTTTAGTGGGAGATCTCCACTTACCTGCTAAAACTTATTTTTTGGTCCCCTTCCAACGTCAACCAAGTTTCGCGGACACAATGAAAATGCTTTGTTTCCTCTTCCACTCCAAAAGGGGCACCCTCAAGCACCAGCTTTCCCAGGCTGCTGGCAGATGCTGCGAAAGCTGGCAGTGAACACCGCGGGGCTGCAAGGCGATGGCTGGTGTGTGTCTGATGTTTGTTGCGGGTACGTTTTTGGGTTGGTTTTTTTTAAAGGGAAGCCAATTGCAAACCAACATTTGTTGGGGGGTTCCACGATTTTAAGACACGCCAATGTGTTGTTTAAGGCTACCCTCTCCAACTGTGCCTTGGTTTGTGTTTGGAAAGCACATTTTGAACGGTCCCCTTTTTGACACACACACACACACTCGTGTGCCCAACAAACATGGTGCCGTTACCACCGCAGCTGGCAACAAATGGCGAGCTCACCCCTGATCAAGTGGCTGTACCAGAACCCACCTTTTGATTCCCATGAAGGCGGCGTTTGCCCGGCACGGATGGACACACAGCTGTGCTCGTGCATGCTTTGTTCATAGGGGTGTTGGTTTGTTCTTGCGGCGCATGACTTGTGACTCATTGCCAGGCTTGTAAATATGCAGTTAGCCAGCACAATGTGTTGCTTCTCCGCCACTTTACGTAGGAGCAGCATGCTAACAAAAGCTGGTATGGGACTCTGCTGGGTGTTCATGTCTGGGTTTAGTGGTTGGAATCAGACCACTTTCGGAGGGGAACACCCCCACCCCCCTATTCAAGCTGGACCAGAATAAATCCCCCTTGTTTATCTGTCCGAGATCTCTATAGTTGGTGTAATTTGATACGTGTATAACATGTGTATATATATATATATATATGAGTATTTGGCCATGGTTCAAAACCAACACCCTTTTTAGTCTATTTTACCTGGGGATTTTACATGTTCACGGGGTTTTTTGACCCATGGCCAAATTGTTAAAGGTTAATGAATATCGACCAGAGATTCTCTGCACAAAAGGCCGAGATCGTTTCGGCTGAAGCCGCCCTCTCGCAGGCCTTGGATCTGAGGCGCTTCCCGGCCTGGGTTTACTTGCTGCGAAATCGGTAGGGATGGAGAATTGACACGAACCCAGGTCTTGGTCCCCTTAACGGAAACCACCAGCTGCGGATGGTTTATCTTGGGGTCATTCTGATTCTCATGCCGATTTCGCATCAGCAAGTTGATTCAAGTGCTGTATTCGCAAACATGGGTCCCAAAAGGAGGCTCCCGTAATGGCAAAGGGTAGCATTTGGGGTGAGGTCTCCGGACATGACCTTGGGCCAAACCGGTTGGCACTTGGGTCCCATGGAACGTGATTCGTTACCATTTGCCTGGGATTTTGAGGGCGGAGCTCCGGGAGTGCTGAGTTGCGGATGTTTCGTATCATTCGTGTGTGTGTGTGTTGCATGTGGCTTTTGAGGGTAGCATTGGCTTGGGTGGTTTTTTAAGAGGTACCAAGGGTGAATCCATCATTGATGGGGTTCCTTAAACTCAACACACACACACACACATGTGTTGAGTTTTCAGAAAGGGGGAGGGGAAGGAGCTTTTGAAGATGACTTTGGTATGCGGCGATTGGCAACGTGGAACTGTTGGTTAGTTATTCGGATGTGTCTGGCTACTGGCTTGATAGTGATTTTGGTTGGACTGATTGTTTGACTTTAGTCTGACCATTACCGGGTTGATTAATTGGCCGATGGATTCATGCGTTCCTGGATCGATGGGAGGATGGGTTTATGACTGACCCCTTCCAATGCTGACCTGCACTTTGTGCGTATATGCGGTGAGAACAATGCATGCTGCGCGAACGGAGTCACCGCGATAGTGAAGGCCTTGCTGTGGTGCGGTGCGTTTTGAATTGGTGCTGTAGGGCTTTGGCACGCTTTCTTGATCTCTGGGTCTCCGGGTGATTGGAACATGTTTGCTAGCTCTACTGCGGCTAACTCCGACCGAAAGGCGAATTCTGCCATCTTTTGGTTTTGTCTATCTAGGTCCCCCAGTGGTGCCCTTTCTCACCCCTTTTTGAGGGGGAGGGTTCCCCTACTAAGATAGACTACAGAAAAAAGTTGGTACCCTTATTCTAACCTCTCTACTGGAGGACCTGGCTATCTTATCCCACCTTGGGAATCATTGAGCCATGAGAAGGGTCCATGCGATTTGCCCTTGTGTTTTGTTCACGTGTTGTTTCATCATGTGGCAAAGCGGCCGAATGGCCGTTTGGCTCAAGTTTAACCTCCCGTCAGGTTAGTTTTGGTAGCACGGCACTCGCCATAGCACGGCATCTCGCTGCGTCGCCGAGAAAGGACTCTCGGCGCTGGGGTGGGCTGGTGCTAGGAGGTAGGTGGTGCTGCGGCAGGACTTGCCTGGGCCTGGTTAAGGTGATCTTTTGCAACTTGCTGTTTAACCTTCACTTCAACCACCTCTTCTTCAATCATCACGTCCTTCAACCTGGTCACCGGCTTCAGTCCACTGAGTCGTGAGTCCGGGTTCTTTGGGTTCTTCGTGGATTACGTGAACCCTTTTGATTCCCTGGGCAACGCCCTTTCCGCCCAAAACCGCAGGTTATCAGCCGTACCAGCTAGAAGCTGGGGCTGGTGATCCGGTTGCGGGACGTGACCCGCTACCTGCTCCCATCGCCTACTTGTACGAGCAAGGCAACGCCGCGCCTGCTGCTTCCGGCTTAGACAGCCGGCTGTGGCCCATCCCCCCGATGGTGGGCGCAGAGCCCAATCCCGGGGTGATCACGGACGATTGGATCCTTTCTCAGGTTGTGTTTGATGAGGATGCGGAGGCCCCTATCCCGGCGGCAGTGCTCCAGATCGAGGACGGACCCCCTCTAGAAGAGGCTGAGGGTCCTCCAAATCAGGTGCCCTCATCGATTTCGCCTACTGTTCCGTTCGTGGCGCTCCAGATCGAGGACCGGGCTATCCATCATGCTGCTCATCCGGAGCCGGCTCAATCATGGTCCCTTACATGGGATCAGTTTGACCAACTCCTCGGCAGTGGATCGCAGGCTACACCGCCTGATTTCGGTCGGCTCGACTTTAACTCGGGTGCCCCCGTTTCGGTTGGGAATCTGGATTTTCAATCCCTTTGTGATGCTGATTGGAGGTCTCAGCCTTCCCGAATTGACAGATCCTTTGATGTTTTGCCGTCGCATGAGCCCACTCAGGGTTTTCCTCATGATGGAGAGAATGACCCCATTGAAGATTTCTCCCCTTCTCATGTTGCAGGTTCGGCCCAACCCGAGGTGGGCAAACGGGCGATTGAGGATTGGCCGCAAATAGCTGGCCCTCCTCCCGTCTCAGGTTCATCCGACATTGACATCATTCACGATCACCCCAGTCCGGCGGATATGGACTTCATCCCTGATGCAGTATCATCTCACCTGTCAGGTACCCGTGACCGGAATGCGGACCGCTACAACGCTGGTCCGAATCCACCGCTTTCCTCAGGTACCCGAGGTCGGGATGCGAACCGCTACAACGCGGGCTCAAATCCGCCAAATCGGACGTCAGGTACTAATCGATCGGATGTGGGCCGCGAAACAGCAGGCCCAAATCCTTCCTCCTCTTCGTCAAGAAGCCATGCCGGTCTCTTCGCGGCGTTCAATCGGCGTCAGACTCGAAAAGAGTCCGCCCCCGACGTCATCGACCTCGAGGAGCAGTCCAGCCACCGTACCAGCGATGGATCCGAGCAGGATACACCTGGTATTGGCTCCACTCCATTTGACCTCCTCGACATCCCCTTCCATCAGCCACCCAGGAGAGGAAATGAAGATGATGAAACCATTCCTGGGATCCTTGATGTAATCGATGAGGCCGAGGTCACACCAGAGAGACGAACTACATCGCTCCCGCCGAGCCGCGTTGCCAAAGTACTTTCCCCTAAGCCACTCAATGGTGACGTTGCTCAACGGCTTGATCTTACTCAGCCTAATCCAGATCAAGCTCAACTTCGCGGATCATCATCATTTGATAATGTGTCGGGACAAACCGGCACTGACTCACGAGCCACAAAGAGGAGCTCTGAGTCACCCGAGAGACGTGAAGCTGCTCTCCGACTGCGATCTAATCCCCCAGCTCATCACGACCCTATTGACGTTCCTATCCACTCTGCGGGGTCTGGGCTCAGCTCCAATGCCCCGATGTCCGAGAAGGAGACTGATGACGGGATTAACTCTACGCCTAGGAACCGGAGGCCTGGACTTAGCGCTGTTGCCCCTGGATATGGAGGGCTTCCTTCGAATCAACCGGTTAACGACTCCCTCGTTCCCGCATTCTTTCAAATCGGAACTCCGGGCTGCACTCCTGACAGGGAAGAAAATAGTCGCGGAGATCATGACGCTGATAGCCGTCCTGCTCCGTCTGCCTCCACAAGTGGCGGCCATCCTGTTGCATCTGAGCTTCAACGACTGCTTCTCGCGATCCACAACGAGGTCAAGGGGTGCAAGGCCGAAATCCAGGGGTGCAGAACTGAGATTCGTTCATGTAGGGATGATATCAACGCTTGCGTCGGTGAGATCAAGAAGATCAATAACCGTGTTGACGCCTTCGAGAAGAAGGTTGAATCATCTTTCTCTGCCGTTGCTGGAACTCTCTCAAAACACGAGGCTAAGTTCCGTGATTTCCACGAGTGGGTCGCCCGAAGCGAGAAGGAGACGAATGAGCGTTTCAAGATGTATGATGAGAGATCTGACTCGATCGTCACATCTGCTGCTGGACTTCGCGAGCAGGCCGAATCACTTGAGAACGTCAAGGTCCAGCTCCTTAGGTTCTCTGAGATCGGAGCTCTTGAGGCTGAAGTTCGGAAAATCAAAGACGAAGTTGA